GTTTAGATTGGGTCTAAACCCTACACAGTATTAAAAAGTATTAAAGGGCATTTTCCAAGGTTTTACATTTTGTAGCTTGTTTTCAATAAGTATATCAATGGTCCAAAGAGGTTGTATTCTACAGTCTGCCTGAATGTAATCATGGCGTAGGTGTGTAGTGTGGTTCTGTGTACTTTATTTATGGCATCCCGTTGGATTTGACGTCATCTGAACAGAACATCACACGCTCACTGCTTGATAGCGTGAAGGCCCGTTTACGCCGGTTGTTAAATATTGTTATGGGGAAATGCAAGTCTGCGTCCAAATGGTTGGAAGATAAGGAGGAAGGACAATCAGTATATAGTCAATGTGAGGTCAAGTGTGTCGCCAAGGTAACCGGTTAGAACTCCAAGTGGCGATGAGGTCTTAAAATGTAGGAAAGGGTCTTAAAAAAGGTCTTTAAAAGGTTTGACATTTGACTTCAGGATTCCTGCATATACCCTGTTAATGTGATCGACTGATTCTCTGTATGAAAGGTGTGTTTTATTAATTACATTAAAGTGTAGTGTAATAATATATATTTGAATAATCAATTAGTCTTTTGGTTTATGTGAGGACAAAAAACGGAAATACCTTTTTCACATCACTAAATTGAATGTTATTAGTGCTCTAAAAGTGTTCAGTCCTTTTTTTAATGAACATGAGTCAAAAGAAAATGTGAACTTATTTTATTAATTCAAAACAATTATACATATTCTCTTTATATAGACTTTAGAGCTGCAACAATAGTACTGTTGTCCTTTAATGTCTTGTTTACAGTCATCATTAGCATGTTCTGCAATTCAAACCCATCTATGAGAAGACTGCTGTTAAGAAACCAAAAGAGCTGTGGGTTTCCCAAGTTGGGTAAAGGTTGTCAAATACAGGTTTCTGCTCTCGAGTGCAAAGGCCAATCATACAATTTGGAAACAAACTAACTAGCTTTTTAAATGACAGCTGTCATTTCAAAAGCTAAAGTTTTGATTTGGAATCAATGGATTGGAAACACACAAGCCACTGATACTCAATCAGAACTCAAACACTAGTATTACATATATGTTCAATTAGATTGATCTTGCTTTGTAATCCAACTTGTTTACAGAAATATTTACTGCTGGAAGAGTGCATGTCTGGAAAGAAATAATCCACCATGTACATTTTGATACAAATTTGACTCATAACTTTCCATGTGGAACCTTTTCCCCTCTCATAGACACCCACAGGTCTTAACCACCATGTTGCGGTGTTTTTTGAGGATGACGTTGTTGTTGTCGTCGTAGAAGAGGACGGAGATGGGGCTGAGCTTGGTGGGGGCGCAGCACGCTTTAGGAACCTCGTCCGGCTTCAGCAGGTGGACCTGCAGCAGAGAGGACACAGTGATTAACATACAGGTATTTAACCAAACCAAACCATATGACTGATATGTTTTATTCAGTTTGGTGGCGAGGTATGTTTTGGTCAGGATTCCCGAGTAACACTATATAAACAATATTGTGATTTAAAAATGTATCAAATGTTGGTCTAAAGTCACCCTTAACTAAAGCTGTCAAATGAATGCTTCTCAGTGTCAATTTTGTTTTGATGTACAGTCCTTTTTTAAATATGAATTATCCCCAACACTCGACACAACATTTTATAACAATTCAAGAAAACAGCATTAAAGGGTATTACGTCTAGAGCATACATAAGAACACATGTTTACTTCTCATAGAGTATTGTAGTATGAAGTCATTAATGATCAACTTTCAAATCGAAGTGTGTGTTGGCTGTACTGACCACTTGCTGGATGAGCGCGTGGTTGGTGGCGTTCATGCAGGAGCCCAGAGGGTAAAAGCACTCTCCGTCACAGTAGTAGGCTGAGTATCCAGTGGGGGCCAAGACCCAGTCCTGAGCAGAACCACAAGAGTCTAGTTACAGGCAGGGACATCACCACAACTATCCAGTGAACTATTACCACTATATAATATGATTCAATCAAGGAAGAATCAGAATGGCAACTATCAGTAAGACATGGATAAGTATTTTCGACATACTATGTTGTTTTTTCTGGTGTTTTCGACATACTATAAACTCTGTAGCTTTTTCTGATATGGTATTTTCGACAAACTACACTTTTTTTTAAAATGATATTTTCCACATATTATATTATGTGTTTTTTAATGATATTTTTTATAAACTATACTATGTCGTTTTTAATGATTTTTTCAACATACTATACTATGTCGTTTTTTAAATTAATGAAACATTATACTTTGTCGTTTTTATAATACAATAATAATAATACATGAGACTTGGCAGCAGTAGAGCAGAGGGGGCGGGTGGGAGTGTGTCTGGAGGAGGTCAGTCAGGTAGGATGGGGCCAGGTTATGGAGGGCTTTGTACGTCATCAGGAGGGGGGGCTGGGGAGCCAGTGGAGCTTGATGAGGGTGATTTGTTTATGATATTTTCGACATACTATACTATGTCGTTTGTTTCTGAAATGTTCAATAAACTATACTATGTCGACTTTTATGATATGTTCGGCATAGTATGTCGTTTTTTTCTGTTATTTACAACATTCCATGCTACAATGTTTTAGGATGTTTATGCTAACATAGCATTTCAGTTACTTGTACTCTGTGCGATGTCAATAAAGTTGAATTTAAGGTTGTTTTTGATAAATGTTCGATTATGTAATTTTTTCTGATATTTTCGACATAACTTTACGTTTTCTATATATTATACTGCATTTTTATGTCTCATTATTTGAACACTGTGCAATGACAGAAAGGTTACCGTTGGTTTTTCAGAAATGTTTAACACGACAAGTTAAATCTAATCTTATTTTGTCTATTATCCTTTTGACCTTTTCAGCAAACCATACAATGACGGTTTTTTTCTGATGTTTTCAACATACTATGATAATATCTCTGATATTTGTTACATGATGTTCTATGTAGTTTGTTCTGAAGTGAGTTTATGATCATTTGGAATTACTATAATATGCCTTTTTGTTATATTTTCAACATACTTTAGTGAGTAATCTTATGATTTTTTTCCAAGAGTTTTTCCAGAGACCCACCCATTCATGTTTGTCCTCTGTGGAGCACATTGGGGTTTGGTCCATTACTTTGAGGTTATACATGCCACAGCATTAAGTCCAATTGTACTTCACAGAGGACATCCTGGGCTTTTCAAACTTATGACATATGTGGGGGTGTGGCTTTGAAAAAGATAAATTCATTGTATTTTATAATGGCGTCCATCAACACAAGCACTATTTATAGACAGATAAATGGTAAGCTTGTAATGTTGTAATTACCAGTGTTGTGAGTTCAATAGTTTTAATTAATTATAGTAAGGGAACATCTTAGGAGTTAGTGTAGTGAGTTTTCAGAGCAGTCTAATACTTATTTGACCTAAAACTAAATGTTGTTATGAATGTCCTCTGAGGAGGACATGGGGATTTGCTAACTTTTTATTTCCCCCATT